GCCAGTATTACACTTATCCCAAAACCAGGCAAAGACACCTCCAAAAAGGAGAACTATAGGCCAATCTCCTTAATGAACATTGATGCAAAAAATCCTTATCAGATTTTGTTTGGTTGGTTGATATGAGTGTTTTTGCCTATTAGAATACAAGTTAGATTACCTAGCAAAGAGTATGCTCAATAAATGATCTGTTTAATTGATTTCTTAGATCTGTATACTACTTTATCATCACAAAGTACTTTGAAGTTTTTTTTTTTAATTTTGTTTTCAAAGCAGACTTCTAAGAAATAGCCAAAACTTCTATTATTATCTTTCCTACTTAATGACTAATTTGTCTTTGTGTGTTTGTTGCTTTTACAGTTTTGAATAATGAAACAGTTTGAAGCCATGATTTGCCTGTGGTTACACTTAGAAGAGCCAGGGCTTTAAACACTTAAGCTTAAGTCTGGTTTCCATTTTTTCATTTGTTTTCTAATACAGATGAGTGGTTCAGGGAAAGTTTTCCTTAAAATGTAGTTAATCCCAGTTAATACGTAGATTCCTTTAAACCTCCCTCTATTATACTTTTTTTGGTGATACTACATAAATCACTTAGTAAAATATGAACTCTTTGCTTTTAATATGGTGAGTTTTAAAGTATTCTTTTATTAGGGAACAAAGAATGGTCAAGAGAGTGGCGTTGAAATTGGAATTGACACAATTCAGTTTGGTGCTCCAGCGTCAAATGGAAGTGAAAATGAAATTGTTCCTGTTCTTTCGGAAAAATCCACTGACAAAATACCTGAACCTAAAGAGCAACGGCAGAAACAGCCACGTGCAGGGCCTATCAAAGCCCAGAAGGTAAATATGATTCCTAAGGTAGATATAATTTTAGGAAAGCCACCAATGCTAATGAAAGGTATATCATCTTAAAATTGAATTTAGTTTTTAATAATGTTATATTATGCATTTTTGTCATAAACATTGACTTTAGCTTCCAGATCTGAGTCTAGTAGAAAACAAAGAATATAAACCTGGTCCCATTGGAAAGGAACGTTCATTAAAAAACAGAAAAGTAAAAGATGCCCAACAGGTGGAGCCAGAAGGACAAGAGAAGCCAAGCCCCGCTACTGTTAGAAGTGCAGATCCTGTCACAACAAAGGAAACCAAAGCAGTCTCAGAAATGTCTGCTGAAATAGGAACGATGATCTCTGTGTCTTCTGCAGAATATGGCACTAATGCAAAGGTAAGCAGCATGCAATGATGGCCTTCTCACTTGATGCACATACTATGTCTAAAATGAGTGATAATTGTACTTTTTTTTCCTGAGGCATATATTCTGTAGACTGTGGGTTATTTCTATAAAGAAAGTCTTATTTCATGGTGTACATATGTAATGTAAAACTATTTACCATAAATTATGTTTCTTTTTGTGCTTGACTTTAGCTTGAGTAGATGGAAGTAAAAAAAAGAGTCTACACAGTATTGTAATGTTTTTGCATTGAGTTTGCAGGTTTTTCTAGAATGACTCTGCTACTTTTATTTTGCTAATAGAGCTATAGTGAAGTCCTATCATGTCTGCTGGTAAGATTCTCGAATTAGGAAATGGGCCAAGGTTATAGTAACCCAAAGATACATAGTTTTTTTTCACGGCTGGAACAGATCACTGTTTCTGTGGTTGAGCACTAGAGGATGTTGACTTGCAATTTAGGGGTCAAATTGAATGAAATATAAAAATCTTTAAAAATATAGTCTGCCCTCTGTATTTGTAGGTTTAGCATTCATGGATTCAACCAGCTGTGAATCAAAAAATATCCCCTGCCTCTCAGAAATTTGCCTCTGTAGTGTGTGTTTTCTTTTTTTCTTATTAGGGAAGGGCTCTACCTCCAACCCTTTTCTTATTATTTTCTAAACAAAATGATATAACACTGTTTACATTGTATTAGACATTATAATAATCTAGGAAAGGTTTAAAGTATACCAGAGGATGTGCATAGGTTGTATGCAAATTCTGCACAGTTTTACACAATTCATAGTGAGGGACTTGAGCACCTACAGATACTAAGAGGACAACTCTACTCATTAAGATAAATTGTGTTATGACTGTAGGAACTGGTTCTTACGGGAACAGCAAATTTCTGTCATGTTGTGTTCACTCCAGGACATATACTCACTGAGAAGGAAAGTAGATATGATCTTTTATATTATTTGAATAGTGTCAATTGTCATACAACCTGAATTCGTGTAAGTAGTAATTCAACTCTACCATATTTAAAGAAGGCATTCATCATAAAATCTGATTTATTGTGTAGACTAAAATTTTGATATCTATATACATTCTATTACTTTGAAAGAGCAAAAGACAATAGTTGTTATTAAGCTATAAATTGTACAGGAAATGCATAAAAATGTACAAGAGCTCAGCAGCAGTTGAAATGTTACAATTCAGCTTGATAGATGCATGTTGTATTATCCTACAGTTAGTAAGTTAAGATTTGACTGAGTTAAGTCTTAAGATCTACTCTTTTCTGCTTTCTTCCCAAACAACTTTACAACTGTTAGACTCTCACTAGAAAGTGGTCTGTTAATCCCATTCAAAAAGTATTTTTTTCTACTACTTCTCCACAGGAGTCTGTAACTGACTATACTACACCTTCTTCTTCTCTGCCTAACACTGTGGCTGCTAATAATGCAAAGATGGAAGATACTTTGGTTAATAATGTAAGTAATCAACCTGAGACTTGACAAGTTTGGATAAGAATCAGCTGTTATCTAATTAATCACCTTTTGTATATTTACTAGTATGACTAATATTTGGCTCTTATCAGGAAAAGAATTGATAGTATACTTTTTTCTACAAGGAGTATAATATAAACACAACTAAAATCAAATCTAGGCTTTTGGCAGTTGTCAGTACTAAGAACTGAATTCATTGCCTCAAACCAGTTAGGTAAGCACTCTACCACTTGAGCCACACCCCAAACAAAGCCATGCTTTTTTGTTTTTCCTCTGAAAGTCATCAGCTTTCCACCTAAAATCAAGGCTTTCAGGACTTAGATTTGATTTCATAGATACCAATGCTACTAACCTGGTTTTGGGAAGAATATTTGTTTTCATCGCTCACATTTTACAAATTCATTTCATTTGGTTGGCGATTTTCCTTCACAAATGAAACCTTTTTATAATTTAGCAAAGCCCTACTCATTTAAAACAATTACAGTCAGTCTGGAGGCATGGCTTAAGCAGTGGAACACCTGCTTTGCTGGTGCAAATCCCTGAGTTCAAATCCTAGTTTCCTCCCACACACAAAAGTAGTTAAAACAATTGCAATCAAAAAAAGACAACTAGAGGGCAGGTGCAGTGGCTCAAGTGGTAGAGTGCCCACCTAACAAGCATTCAAAAATATTATGAAACTTGTGGTCACACAGTTTAATTTTAGTGGAACATTTTAGAAGTTGTTTTATGATACTGGCTTTGGAGGGCAGATAGAAATTTGGTCACCTGCTCTCTTTAAAATACAGCCCTCTGTAATGAAACTGTCAGACTTAAATGTTGATCATTTTCTCAAACTTGTACAGATAAATATTTAAAGGTTTCTCCCCAAGAGTTTAACCATCATTTTCAATTTAATAATCTTGATTTTTATCTTAAATTTTTTCCCCATGCTGTCTTCCCTCTAGCCTCAACTGTATGGAGTATTAGAAAGGTGAGGTGCTCTAGGGGTCACTTTATCCAATTTTTGTGGTCCAGTTGAAGGACTCTTTAACTATGGATCTGAGGAAGGGGAATAGAGAAGAGTGAGTCACATCTTTCTTGGTGATGACCAAGAGCTGGTTCAAATAATTTGTCTGATTTTTACATATAAAACACTTCATGTGCCAAGTGTACACCCCTCCCACCTTTCTGAGAGTGCTTTCAATATTTTTGTTAATTTCCTGTGTAATGGAAAACTTCAGAAGTAGAAAAGTCCTTTCAGTTTTAATGCTGATATCAATATCTAGGTTTCCAAATACATTTGTAACATGTTACTTTTTCAAGAAAGTATGAAACCACTTTTTTTTTCTGATCAACCATCTCAAAATATAATTTTTAAGATGTAAATATGGAAAAAAAATAGCATTCTCAGAACCCTCACAGTTTTATCATTGAAAATAAAATGAAGCTGGGTACCAGCTGGGCTCACTCCTATAATCCTAACTACTTAGGAGTATAAGATTGGGAGAATCATGATCCCAGGTCAAAAAGGTGGCAAAACCCCATCGCAACAGAAAGAAGCAGTGCATGGAGGCATGTGCCTATGATCCCAGCAACAATGGGAAACTTAAAACAGGATGGTGGTCCAGGCTGCCCTGGGCAAAAACCAAGATTCTGTCTCCAAAATAACCAGGACAAAAAGAACTGGAGGCATGTCTCAAAAAGTAAAGCAACTGCCTCACCTCCAAAGCCCTGAGCTCAAAATCCAGTACCACCTACCCCCCCCAAAAAAAAAAAGAAGAAAAGAAAATACACACACATGCACAAGATTTTAATGTTTTCTGTGTGTGACTTGTACACTGATAACTTCTAGAAGGATGAGAAACCAGTCTCATATATAGGTGAATAATACACATTTAATTATTAGTACTATGTTCAGGGTGTATTTGAAAGCACCAAGATCATTTTGTGTCAGGGAGCGTTTATAAGTAGTCATCGGTTTAGAATGAGTACACAGTGTTGCTTACTTATTCCAGATGTGTTAGTGATTCTGAACTCGATGTAGTGTTAAAATAGCTTGCATGGGACATTTTTTAGGGCCTTTTGAAATGTCCCTTTTTTGCTCACTCTCTCTTGTCATTGGTCTAGCTGTTCCATTTATACGTAGGGGTTTTGTCTTTTTTTAAAAGATAAATATTTTAGGCTTATTTTCTCTTACTGAGAGTTAATACAGATATGTTTTTACTTTTTTTTTTTTTTGGTGGGATTGGGGTTTGAATTCAGGGCTTCATGCTTGCAAAACAGGTGCTTGAGCCATGCCTCCACTCCATCCTAAGTGGTTAAGTATTAACCCTGTGTTACAATCGTTGCGTATTTTGAATGACCTGAAGATATTTAATGTAAGTACAGATGATATTTTTTACTGTTGAAGCATAGCTACCCTCAGATTTATATTAAAATCTCTATTAAATTGCCCATGCCATGACAAATCTTCATTTAGATAGTCCATAGTATCACAAAACCTGCATGAATCCCAATTTTTTTTCCTGAACAACTGAGTGAACCATCAAAAGCAACAATACCACATAATGAAATCTCAAGATTCAGAGACTAAGAGGGAGAAATGGATAGTGAGTTTCTATTATCTTCATCTTTCAAATACTTGTAATTATTGTATTACTATAACAAAACAATAATGTATAATAAGGTAAGGGTAATATTCTTTACTTTGCTCTAGAAGTTACTTTTGTTCTTGACTCTAGTGATAAGGAAGTTGAGTGCATTGCAGGAGAAAGATTAGTTTCTTATATTTCCAAAGATAGAACCTGTGGATCCCCCATATATGGTAAAAGTTCTTTTCTTAGAACATTGCTATACAGAATGTGGCCTTTGGACCAGCACTGTCAGCATCACCTGGGAGCTGCTTTGAAATGCAGGATTTCAGGCCTTAACCCAGACCAACTGAATTATAATTCACATTTTAACAACAGTTCCAGGTGACTTAGATAACATTAAAATATGAGAAGCACTGCAGATATCTTTATTGCAGATTTATGCATAGAATGGCAGTGTTTCTCTTTATACCTTTGACATAATTATCAACTATTACAGATAATGTAGATAAAAATAATCAGATATTCCTGTTGGCTCTGATAAAAAATAAACACCACCCTTAGAGTACTTTATTAATCTCATTAACGGGTCTTTCATCACACACTTTGATTGTGATATGTGTTGCCTTCCTTTTTCTCAGGTTCCCCTGCCCAGTACCCTGTCCCTCCCTAAGAGGGAGACTATGCAGCAAAGCTCTAGCCTAACTTCAGTTCCTCCTACTACCTTCAGCCTCACCTTCAAGGTATGTACAATATCCATCTCTCAGTGTCTATAATTATTGCATATAAGGGAATATAAATTAACAATATTTTTCATATTTTTAGTGATGTCAAATTATACCTTAACTTTTAACTCTATTCAGCAGTGATTTTTGATATCCTCATATTTAAAGCAAGGGCCTGTCTACTGTACTTATGAATTATGTTTTAAAAATATAGGACATAGGTAGTCCATGTTTGTGATTCATTTCCCACATCTTAAATACTAATTTGATAAAAGTGCTAATTTTTTATCTTTCCTGTAAGTCATATGTAAATTGAATGAGTGCAGTGTGGTGAGAAGAATATTACATGAGAAGGTAACACAAGTATGTTTTATAAGCATCAAGAGGTTTTTAATTTGATTTTTGCTGGGTTTGTGTGTGTGTGTGTTTCTGTCTGTCTGTCTGGGATTTGAACCCAGGGGCTCACACTTAACTAGGCAGGTGCTACCACTTGAGCCAAGCCCCTAGCTCTAATCTGAGCAGTTTTTGATGTCAAGTTTTAGCTTGTTGTTGTTATTGTTACTGTTCTTAATCTTCTATTATGTTTATAATTTTGAGACTTTTAGATCTGATGTTCACCTCAAGATCAGTATGTGTCTAAAAAGATCATGGAACTTCTGCTTTGTGTCATCCCTGTTTGTACTCAGTCGTTACTATTTACTGCCATCTGCTACATTCCCTTTACTGTTTTTCCACTTAAATGGCTATCTCAAACTGTAATCTTTACTTTGTCTTAATGATTTTTATGATTTTTATCATTATACTGTCCAAGATAATATTAGAATTTCACATAAGCAAATGTGATGTAATCTGTAATTGTTTTCAAACCAGCTGTTAGTTTAAAGTATCCTAGCTTGCCTTTCACTTATTTTTATAATTCCAAAACACATAATTTTAACTCTTGTATGCATTAGAGTTAAAATTAAATTGCATTAACTAAAACGTTTTTCAGTTCAAGTAATTGTACTTTTAATTTTCTTGAATTTTTAGAAATAGAAACAAAAGTTTTTGCTGCTTAAGATAAAGTGAAAATAGGGAAAATATGTGGTCTATATATTATGTAATATTGGTACAAGCAAATGGCTTTATGTTTAGCTTCCCAAATTTTCCCCAATACTTTCATTTTAAAATAAAATACATTTTTAAGATGTACTTGAAATCAGTAAGTGATTCTGAGAAAGACTTTTCTTAAAAGTGTTCTATAATTTGAGTGTACAATGATAGTCATTAAGAAAAGGCTAAATTAGGAATAGTGTTTTTAAAGGTATATGGGATAAAACGTACTATTTCTCAAATTCTTAAAATATAAATTAAAGTTTTAGCAATCGGTACCTCAAGGACCCACATGCTTCCTAATGATGGTATTAAAGATAATACTCTTTTTTTAAAAAGTGTCCTTATGTAAATCACAAGTGGCTCTTACACATTCTCTTGGGTTTTCCTTTTAGCCCAGTATTTCCACTGGTAGTGTGAAAAATCTTTAAGATCTGTGCATCTGTTCTTAACTAAATTCACCTCAGTATATGTGAAGACCTTTATCTGTGCTCTCCAATTTAGACTGGTTATGTGTACCTACTGACCACTTGAACTATGGCTGGTCTAAATTAAGGTGTGCTGTAATAAAATAGATGCTATATCTGAATTTTTTAATATCAAAAAGTATCTTACCAATTTTTATGTTAATTACCATTTCAATACCACATACCTACAATATAAAGGTATGTGGATTGAATAAAATATTAACAAAGTTTTTTTGTTGTTGTTTTTTGCTTTTGGGGTTTTTTTTTTTTGTTTTTTTGGGTTTTTTTTTACTCTTTAAAGTGCAGCTACTGTGTAATCCAAGCAGTTGGGAGATGAAGTAGGAGGTTGGGAGTTCAAGGCCGGCTACACAGTAAGACCTTATCTCAGGGAAAAAAAATAAAATAAAGAAATTAGGAGAGCACAGTTAAAACCAGGGTCGCAAATGCAAGACTGCACCCAGTATTTAAAATGCTTAGAGAGGTCTGGATGTGAAACAAGAAGTGTTTAGATTGCAACCCAAGCCTAAAACCTGTCTCGTTATTTTGCCTTTTACAGTACTGAGCATGAAACAGCCAAATGATGGCCTAATACTGGCCATTTGAAAAGTGTTGGCTTTAGAAGAGTCTTTCCTAGCATAGGCAAAGCCTTAAGTGAGTCCCATAGGGCAATTATATTTCCTTTCCTTATTTACTGATGAGGGTGGGGGTTATGTTTAGATGATACAATATCTGTAACAACATGATTCATGTTTCCCAAAGCTGTCACCACATTCTCCATTAAAACAGTTAAACGCCATTGTCTCACAATTCGAGTAAAGGGACAAGTGAAGTTTTTAAAAGCCTTGGGTTTTTTTTTTGTGCGGGGGGGTTGACACATAATTGGAATTTAAATATTGACACATACACACACACTTATATACATGTATATTAGTTCCTTACTGCCTTTTTTTTTTTTTTAACAAATACCCATTTTATTGCAGATGGAGTCTGCACGCAAGGCATGGGAGAATTCTCCAAATGTAAGGGAAAAGGGATCTCCAGTATCTTCCACAGCACCTCCAATTGCAACTGGTGTTAGCAGTAGTGCCAGTGGACCAAGCACTGCTAATTACAGTTCATTCTCAAGTGCATCGATGCCTCATATTCCTGTGGCTTCCGTCACTCCTACAACATCACTATCAGGTAGAACTTTCTTGGGCTTTTCCTTAAAACTTTTTTGTGTGTGGTAGTGGATATTGAACCTAGTGCTTGCTAGGCAAGCACTGCCACCAGTATACACTCATAGCTTAAATATCTTCAGTTATATAGAATTTTTTATAATTGTTTCCTATTCAACATGCATGAAATATTTATCAGTTCTTTTATAAAATTCCTTGTACCTCCCCCCTCCCTTCCCCTCTCAGAATTTCAGTTAGTGTAAAAAGAATATTTTATTGATGACTTACTAAAATAGATTTTGCTGGGTCCTCACACATACACATGCACACTACAGACATTAAAGAATAAGTGATGAGAATAAAACTTTTTCTTTTAAATTTTCCATGTAATTGACCTTTTTGATTGTCATTTTCACATGTATGCAGTTAATTAAATCAGTTCAGAAATAACACAGAATAGCTCAGATTTTAAATGATTTGTAATCTGTATCTAATTTAAAGGTGCTATTGGCTGAAGCCTATTAGGATAATTTATATTTTCTGGTGAAGAGTTTTAGGTGTAAGGCGGGACTTACTTAGCCTATAACCCAGCTACTCAGGAGGTAGAGACAAGAGGATCATGGTTCAAACACAGCTGGGGCAAAAACTTTAGAGACCCCATCTCAGCAAATAAGCCAGGCATAATAGTAAATGATTAATCCCAGCAACAGGGGAGGCATAAGTAGCAGGATTATAGTCCTTGTCTGGCCCAGGGCAAAGGGGTTAAGATTAGTCTGTACCTGAGAAAGCAGAAAAGGGCTGGGAGCATGGCTGAAGTGGTATAGCACTGACCATGCTGAGCACACAGTCCTGAGTTCAAACCTCAGTACCATCAAAAGAAAGGGGGGGGGTGTAGATAACTTCTGATCTACTATTTGAGTGATGAAATTCATTTGTTTTGGGATTTAATTTGTTCTGTTTTGTTAAGAAAAGTTTGTCAGCATTAGAGGTATTTCTAATATGCGTGACTCTAAAAAAAACTGTACCCTTTTCACTCTACCTTGTATGTAACCATGTTTCTTCTGTTGAAAGCATATTTTATTTCAAGCTTTTCCAGTATTCTCCAATAGTTCCAAAGCAATGAGAAGTTTTTCTTCCCATGGATACAAAATATATCCAACACAGCTTTAGTTTTCATTTGGTGATTAAAATACTGTTTTTCAATATTCTGCATACTGTGTTAGCTTTAGGTACCTAGAAAACAGTGCTCTTTAGGTTATACTATAATTATATTTTCTACAATCAGAAGTATGTATTAAAAATAAGCAAACCCAGAGATGATGTACTGCGTTACAATTTCAAAGTCTTCCAACTCTTTTTCCTTCTAAATCTTTCAGCCATTCCCCCTCTGCTCATTTGCAAAGGCGTTTTACTAGACTAACTTGGGCCCTATTCTGCTGGGGTAGGGAGTTTGCTCTAAAAGAAGCAGAAGGAGATTGTGGTAGAGAAATTTGGAAAATAAAGGGACTGGGAAGGTTCCCAGTTCTGTCTTTGGAAGTCAACAACCTTCTTTCTCCAGGTCTAGACTACCTCTGCTTCCCTTGACTAGAATAATTTTTAAACAAGGACTGTTTTTGACTATCCCTGTTGGTAGAGACCATAGATTTTTAAATCAAATACTAGTTATTTTCATTTTGCTCTATTGTTACAGTCATAGCTGACTGGTAATAAAAACCAATTGACCCTTCAAAATGTAAATTTTAAAATTCCACTCATTTATCTTCATTTGTATTCAAGGCGCTACTTTATGCCAGTTTTTTGCAAGAAAGAGAAATCTAAGCTTAAGTTTAAGTGACTTTTTTTTTCAGGAGAGAGTGATATCTCTCCGTGCCCATTTACATTTGTAAGTACTCCTAAGGTACAGCACTTCTTCCTTTTATGTTTTTATCTATGCCTGGTCATAGATGAATCAAGCTGGTGGTTGTCTTTTTCTTCTTTGTGATGATTAAATAGTGATACTAATTTGAGGCTTTATAAATAGACATGTAGGTACTCATTTTGAGTTTTGTGTTTTATTTTGTTCCTCATTTTAATTTTCTATTACATTTTTGCAGATTTTATAGGCTTGTTTCCATATAAGTGTTCTTTGCTTTTGTAAGCCACTCATTTCCATTTTTGGCCTAAGGCAATTTATAAGTACAGTTGTCTATCAGTATCCATGGGGGATTGTTTCCAGGACCCTGTCTCATCAAAATCTGTGCATGCTCAAGACCCTTAACATAAAGTGGCATATTTGCATGTAGCCTGCACACATCCTCTGGTATACTTCACATCATCTCTACATGACTTATAATACCTATGTACAAATGCTATATAATACTGTTAATAATTACTTAGGGAATAATCCAAGGAGAAAAATCTGTACATATTCAGTACAGACATAATTGTCTTCAAATATTTTCAGTCTGTAGTTACTTCAATACTCAGATGTATGCCCCATAGATAGGGAGAGCCTACTATACATAAGGGATTAAATGTTTATTTTCTAGATCCTTATTGGTACTGTGAACAACAGTGACTCTTTTAAACATGATCTTTCTCCTCCCCCAAATACAGGAGCTGGTACATATACTACCTCTTCTTTGAGCACAAAATCTACAACCACATCTGATCCCCCTAATATTTGTAAAGTGAAACCCCAACAATTACAGACCAGTAGCCTGCCTTCTGCGAGTCATTTTTCACAATTAAGCTGTATGCCTTCCCTTATTGCCCAGCAACAACAGAGTCCGCAAGTTTATGTGTCTCAGTCTGCAGCAGGTAAAATTTTTAGATTTGATTATTAAAAATTTAGGAAGTGAAGACATTTTAATAAGTGATTGTTTTTTCTCTTTACTAACTCTTTCAAGTTTAAATTTGTTTCATATGCTTTGCAAATATATCCTTTACAGAGATGAAACCTATCACTCCTTCACAAAAATTCTAGGGCTCTTGAAAGTTTCTTTTACATATACTACATATACGAGTATAGTTGTTAGGATGATAGTTATGATGAAGTAGTATCTAACAATTTGCAAAGTAATTTATGCATGTGACACTATTCTATCAAATCACAAAATGTTTAGTTACCTGAAACTTCAGAATAAATAATAACAAAGTTCTTGGGTTAGCATAAAAAGTAAAGAAGAAAAATATTAGTTGGAATATCTGGCCCCACTGAATATCACAGTGTTCATCTGAAATATTTTTAGAAGTACTTTAAACTCAGTAATGCTTTAAATTCAAAATAAAACAATGCTGTTATTTTACATATATAAAAATCACTGTAGTAACAGTTTCATAAGATCTCATAATTCTCAC